GGCTCACATCCTGGGGGGGCACGTCAGGGGCTCACATCCTGGGGGGGCATGTCAGGGGCTCACATCAGGGCTGGGGTGCAGGGGAGAGACAACACGCACACAACTAAGTGCCTGGAAGATCTCACCAGAGCCAACGAAGACAATTAGGAAGGGGAAGGCATGCGCGGGGGAGAGCACTGGGAAAGAGCAGGAGGGGGGATTGGAGTTGAATCCTGAAGGAAGTTCAGGCAGCCAGGAGGCAAAGGAGAGGAAAAGGACTTCCAGGAGGGGGCCACAGATGGTGCAAAGGCAGGGAGCCCGAAGGTCCCATCTGAGGAGCACTAAGAAAGCCAGTGCAGCTGCATTATTGGGTCTGTGGAGGGGAGCAAAGAGTGGAAAGACTGGCCAGCAGCAGGAAGCCTGGTTGTGCCACACAGAAAACCTTGTATGGGTCCTCGAGGTGTGAGAAGCACTTCAGTTCATTTGGGGGGGGTGACGCTTTGGGGAGATGCCTCCAGCGGCTGTGGAGGGGGACGGGGAGTCGGAGGGGGGCAGACCCCTGCCAGCCCTTTGGCATTCTCGGTACCTGCAGGACACTTCCCAGAAGCCTTCTCTGCGCTCCACGGAATTCCGGGGTGGCTGGAGCCGGGGGAGCCAGGGCGAGCCAGCCAGTGCCCACCCCCAGGGGCACAAGGAGGACAAACATGCTGGCCCGGAGTTTCCTCCTCGTCCTTTCCCGGGAGCATCTGCCTGTAGCAAACACCCAAACCCCACTTTACTTCTGAACGAGAATGCCCAGAGACGGCGCAGCCTCTGAGCTGAAGGGGCCTCTGGAGGTACCTTGTCCATCTCATCCCTGACCAAAACACCCACTCTGCATTGTCCTGCTCAGGGACCCTCTGCTTGAAGACTTCCTTTATTTTTTTTTTTGGTTGGGCAATGGGAGTTAAGTGACTTGCCCAGGGTCACACAGCTAATAAGTGTTATGTGTCTGAGGCCGGATTTGAACTCAGGTCCTCCTGAATCCAGGGCCAGTGCTCTATCCACTGCGCCACCTAACTGCCCCGAAGACTTACAAAGACAGGGAACTCACTACCTGCCGAGGCAGCCAAGGGCGTCCCTTTGGAATGGAAGTTTTTCCTGATCTCCAGCCTAAGTCTGCCTCTTTGTAACTTCACCCCATGGCCCTGTCCGCTAGGGCCAAGCAGAACAAAGCCAGACCCAAACCCCTGCAGAGTAGTCAGAGAAGATGGCTGTTTGTGCAGAGGGCGGAGGTCCTTACTGGCTCCAGGAGAGCAGGGACTGTGGGCCTCAGTTTCCTTGCCTGTAAATGAGGGGCTGGCATAAATGTCCTCTGACATCCCTGCCAGCTCCAGACCTATGACCGCGTGCCCCTCAAGTCTCCTTTACTCCCGCTAAATGTCCTTGGCCCCTCGTGGACAGGGCCTCAAGTTTCCTCAACATCCTGGTCCCCTTGTTCTACACATACGTCCTAAGCCATGGCACTGGAGTGAATGTAATATTGCCAGTGGTATCTGCTCAGGGCAGAAGACAGTGGCACCGGCCTCAGATCCCCAAAGTTTCCTTGGCTTGCAGTCCACCACCACCCCCAGATCTTTTTCAGATGAGCTGCTAACCATGCTTCCCTCCCTCCTCCATCTTGTATGCTAAAGTCTATTTTTTTTTTTTTTGATCCAGTAAGAAGCTGAACAGGAAGTAGGGATGTCTTGAATTCTGTGTCTGAAATGTCTGAAACCCAGTTTCTGGTCAGCAGGAAGGAGAATGCTGACCCTAACCCTAAATTCAGTTAGCAGGAGCTGACTTTTCACATGCACCCTCCCCCACCTCTCACTTTGGAAAGATGGAGAGTTATCGAATGAGCCGCCTCTCTCCATACGGGGCCAGTATGATGCCCAACCATCGGGTCTGACATTGTTACTCAGGGAATGGTTTGGGGCAGCCCTCCGGCCTTTTCTTTCTTGATCTCACTTCCTTCATTGTTCTCTGGCGAAGCTCCCAATCCCGGGGCCTGGCCTGCCTCTCTTCCAGCTCTTCTCAAGACTTCTTCCCTCTGATCTCTCATTCTCTGTTTTATTCCTTCATAAATGTGTTATTGTTGTTCAGTCACGTTTGACTCTTTGTGACCCCATGGACCATACTGTCCACGCACTTTTCTTGGCATTTCATTCTCCAGCAGATTAAGGCAAACAAAGGTTAGGTGACTTGCCAGGATCACGCAGCTAGTAAGTGACTGAGGCTGGATTTGAACTCAGGTCTTCCTGACTCCAGGTCTAGTGCACTATCCACTGAGCCACTCACCTGCCTCTTCCTTCATGAAGCACTTCCCTTGTGAATCGATCCCACCATTCTGGAGAACAATTTGGAGCTATGCCCAAAGGGCTCTGAAGCTGTGCATACCCTTTGACCCAGAAATAGCACTACTAGGGCTGTATCCCAAAGAAATCACAAGAAAAGGAAAAGCAGCTCTTTTTATGGTGGCTAAAGACTGGAAATTGGGGGGATGCCCACCAATTGGAGAATGGCTAAACAAGCTGTGGTATATGATTGTAATGGAACATTATTGTGCTACAAGAAATGAAGAGGGTGGTTTCAGAAAAACCTGGAAAGACTTTTATGAACTAATGCAGAGTGAAGTGAGCAGAACCAGGAGAACACTGCACATAGAAACAGTAACATTGTACAATGTTACTCTTCTCAGCAATACAATGCTCCAAGACCATCCCAAAGGCCTCATGATGGAAAATGCCGTCCACCTCCAGAGAAAGAACTGATGGTGTCTGAACACAGACTGAAGTATGCTTGCTTTCTTTCCTTTCCTTTTTTTTTTTTTTTTTGGCTTGAGTTTTCTTGCACAAAATGACTCACATGGAAATGTTTTACACGACTGCACATGTATAACCTGTATCAGACTGCTTACCATCTCAGGGAGCAGGGAGGGGAGGGAGGGAGAAAATTTGGAACTCCTTGAGTATGGATATGGCACAAATTTGTCTTAAGAGAATTTTTTCTAATTGTGATTGTTGAAGATGAAAAATGCATCTATTCTAGTGTGTCACCATATGATTTATAGCAAGTTTAAGGGAGTATTACCAAAAAGATCAATTGTTCCAAAACTAATCAATTTATGCAGCAGCAGAGAATTACATTCCTCTTGGGAACACTTTCTAAGTCCTTTTTTATATCTCAATAGCAACATTTTCTTTCTAAAAAAGGGGGAGGGTTAGGGTTAGCTTGGAGGTGCAGTGTGTGAACTGAGCCCCACTTGGCTCAATGGGAGCTGGCCTTTCTGTGGCTGTGGGGCCTCTAAAGTCCCAGAAACCTAGGGACCACGGTCCCGTCCCCCCGACCCCAATGGGACCATGGAGTATCTTCTCTGCCTGGTGACTATTTTCCAGACTGTCCTCCATGAAACCTCAGGGCCCTAACACTTCCTGGCCTCCGAGCTCAGAGCCATGGTCACCTCAAGGCCTTTCCAACAATGGCAGGCTTTCACTCTCCCTGACCCAGCCACATGCCCTTGGCCCCGAGGACCCAGGAATGGCCAGGGAACCACCTTCCCCTGCACAAGTGACAGCCCCCACACACTCACCCAGCTTGGGCTTGATCTCCGAGCCACAGATGGGGAAGAGAAGCAGTATGAGGTTGACCACCTCAATGGCCGCCAGGTAGACGCCAGTGAAGACCTGTGGGAGAAAGAGGTTTCTCAATGCTCCTGGTGCACAAATAGGTCTTGCCAGTGGTTATAGACCTTTGAACAAGAACTTCTAATACCGAGATTGTTAATAAACCAACCCCAACGCAGTCTCGTGTTTACGCAGGCATTGGACATGATGACCTCTAAGGTCAGGCTCCAGCTCAAATGCAGACTCTAGGACACTAATGAGAACAGTGCCAGAAGGAAGCAGCATTTGCTTCTTGGGGGGGTGGGGAGGGGGGAGGGCTGGGGACAGAAGAGGGTCTTTCCTACACATCTGCACTATCAACGAATAGACCAGAACCTTCATGCAACTCTGTGGCACCCCTCTGGCAGCCCCGGCAAAGCAACCAGGCTCTGGGGGATGCTACCCCCCTACCCTGCCAACACACACACTCATCACATATTTACACACACATAATACACACACCCCTACATTCATACACATACACACCCATACATACATACATATAACATACACACAATATGCCCATACACACATATGCACACATAACACACACATGCATACACACATCCACACTCCAAGAGAGGTTGTGCAGCAAAGGTTTGCTCCAACACCTGGACCATAAGCTCATCCCTCTGTCTGTGTTTCTCCTTTTATGGTCTGTGGGCTTGAGAGCTCTCCCTGTCTCTGGAACTGGGTTCAGGACTTGTTGTGGCCAAAAAGATCTGTACTCCCATGCCCAACCTAGGGGTGGCTCTCCCCAAATTTAATCAAGCCTATAATGTGCTCATAGAATCAGAGATCCAGATCTGGAAGGACCTCTGATGTCATCTATCCCCACCGCTACTTTACAGATAGGGAAATCAAGGCCCAGAGAAGGTGGTATGTTCAAAATGTAGAGTGGCACAGTGGGCAGAGCCTTGGATTAGAATCCCACCTGAGATACCTCCTAGCTGTGTGAAGTTGGGAAAAACCCAATCTCTTGAGCCCTCAGTTTACTGTCTATAAAATGGAGATAACATCTTCTCAGGATTGTCTCAGCAGAGGTGTCAGACTCAGCCAAACCTCCCAGAGCAGGCATTCTAAGTCAATAGCGAGCCTGGGTCCTTTTCTGTCTGACTTTGACACCACTGGTCAAGAAGCTCAGATTAAATGGTGGAAGGCAGAGGTTCCCAAACTTATTTGGCCTACTGCCCCTTTTCAAAAAAATAACTCAATGCCCCACCCGGAAATCTTTCTTTAACCTTTTATTCAATGCCCCCCAACTGCACCCAAGGCTATACTGTTCCGCCATGGTTCCAGCATGGGTGTGTGTGTGTGGGGGTGGGGTGTGTGGCCCCCCCAGAGGGTGCTATCGCCCACTTTGGGAACCTTTAAAGCAGTGAAGGTAATGATTGTTAAAACACAATGGCAATATAGAGACATATATTATGTGTGTTATCTTTCCACAAAATCTTGAAATCATTCATCAGAAATTATAAAAATTGAGAAAAGTCAATCAATTAAGATGCCAACTCAGAGCAGACCCTTAGATGAAGCCCTTAGCATTGACCAAGGACGGTCAGACTGCAAGCAAGGCCAAAGCCCTGGTTCCGGGCCCGTTCCGGGACCTGTCTGGGTGCGCCCGAGCCGCCGGCCGCCGCGTGAGCACGAAGGGTCATTCTAATCATCGTTATGACAGTCGTCTGTGCTAAGCAGGTTTGCCACAAGCCCTGGGAAGAAGGGCCATGAAGCAACAGCACCTGAGGCCTTCCGAGACTGCAGACGGGCTCCGGCCATGGAGAGACCACGGGAGACTGGAGGCATCAGGTTTGGGGGAGGGCCGAGGTCAGAAAAGAGAAAGCGGGGCGGGGAGGCGAAAGTGCAAAGCTCCCCCTTCCCCAGGAACCTCCCCTTGAAGGAGCTGGAGGAGCTTGGCCCAGTCAAGATATGTGTTTAGAGATGAAACAGATTTGGAGGAGCTTGGGTGCCGTAGGAAAGGCCGCGGGGACAAGGAATGCCTGGGGTGAAGGAGGGGAGCTGCCAGGGGCTGTGGGAAGCATGGGGGCAGTAGCAAGTCCACAGTCATTCAACTCCAGCTCGCTCAACGATAGAACCTGTGGTCTGCAGCCCGGGAGCACTGAGCTAGAGACTGGGGAGGAAGACAAGTTTAGCAGTTCCTGCCCTCAGGGAGCTTACTTTCTCTATTGGGAAAACAGCAAACACACCGACTGGTCCCTATCAAGGATGTTTCCAGGTGAAGAGGCTGCTGCTGCTGGGGAGCAGGAAAGGCCCCATGGAGGAGGGGGCCCTCAAACCTGGCAGGCAAAGAGTCTGAGATTCCTAGAGGCTGAGGTGGGGGATGCATTCTAGGTGGGAGGCAGGGTGTGAGGAGGGTACAATGGCATGAGGGTGGGAAATGAAGCTCTATATGGAGAGCAGAGAATAGGTCAGCTGGTTGGGAGCAAAGCACACGTCTGGAAAGATGGACCACAGTCCGATTGCAAAGGGCTTTAAAACCCAGACGGAAGCTTTCAAATGTCTCGCAGACTTCCTTTCAGCATTTTAAACTGGAAACAAGGAAGATCCATCCCAGCTGAACTGACTCAATAGGGGGGCACCACGGATGGAAAATGGTGGACTGAGGTAGAGGTAGAAATCAGGAGGGAGAACAAGACGGGAAAGGGGGCAGGGGACGGTCCTTGGGAGCCAGAGTCTGTGACTCCTTCTGACATCCATCTGCCCACCTCTCCCAGTGTCACCGGATTCCAGGCCTGCCTCCTGTCACTCGGGCTCTGTCCCTGCTCTGGGGCCACTGGCTTCCTCTAACAAGAGTTAGCATTTACATAACACTTTAACCTTTGCCAAGTATTTTACAAAGATCTCATTTGCTCCACAGAAGAGCCCTGGGAGGTAGGTGCTACTCTTATTCCCTTATAAAGATGAGGAAACTGAGGCATTCAATGGTTAAGCGGTTTACCCAAATTCCTCCGGCTAGTGTCTCAGGTGGGATTTGAACACGGGTCTCCCTCATGGTGCATGGCCTGCACTCTAGCGGCTGCCTTCCCAAACTGCCGAGGTTGGTGTGGGAAGAGCCCAGGCCATGGAGTCAGCTGACCTGAAGTCAAACCCAGCTGTAGCACCTAAGGGACTACATGTGACCAATGTCCTAACATGTAACATGGGGATGACACAGGGAGCATGAGGGTTCTCCCAAGGAGCCAGTTTAAAGCACTTTGAAAGCGGAAAACTTTATGGGTGAATAGCCATGTTACAGCAGACATGATCCTGGGTGCCCAGGGAACTCAGGCTAGTCCTCTTGTATCCCCCACAGTCTCAATCCTGCCGAGCACATGCTGGTGGGGGTGGGGGGCTCCCTACACAGAGAAGGTACAGGCCAGGTGCTGGGGGGGGGCTCCCTACATGGAGCAGGCACAGCCCAGGTGCTGGGGGAGGGGAATCCCTACACAGAGCAGGCACAGGTCAGATCCAGGACACTAGCTGTTACTCCACCACTCACTCCTGGGAGGCACTGGGTGACCCCAACTCCCCACTTGGGCTCCAGCGGCCTCCCCTTAGGAGTCTCTCTGTCTGGGAGCAGAGACAAGGGTCCCTGAGCTGGGATTAGGGACTGGGCAGGCAGGCAGGCAGCCAGGCAAAGCTGGCGATGCTTCTGATATAGCCTACGTCTGACCCCTGGTGGCCACTGTGGTGCTCACACAGGGCCCAGCAGAGCCTGGCCGGGTACCTGGGGCACGAGGCACCTACCTGGATGGGGAGCTGCTTGGACAGCAGGGCCCCAAAGGCATCACTCAGGCTGCCCACAAAGCGGTAAATCACACACAGCACAGACCTGTCCCGGTTGGATTTCTTGCAGCACCCCAAATAAAAACACCTGAAGAGAGAAGGGCAGACATAACAGAAGATGGGTGAGTGCCTGGCGCATGGCCCTCGGGCTTTTGCTACTGATGTGCTGCGGGTTTTCAGAGCCAGATTTGGAGGGGGAGGTCTGGGGGCTCAGAGGGGACCCTTGTTTATCACGGTATGGGGGAGTTCTGGGCGGCCAGGGGCCTCACTCCCTTATGGACTGAAAAAGGGAGAACGCCCCAGGAGTGCCAGATCAGGCTCTCTTGAATCTCCAATTCTCCCTCTCTCTCTCTCTCTCTCCCTGAGGGCAAGAACTGCTTCATCTTCTGATCACGGCAGCTAGGCGGTGCCACAGGGAGCAGGGTCTGGACCTGAGTTCAAATCCAGCCACAGACACTTATTACCTGTGTGACCCTGGGCAAGTCACTTGAACCTCTGCTTGCCTCAGTTTCCTCAACTGTAAAATGGGGATAATAACAATAGCACTTACCTGGCAGGGTTGTTGTGAGGGTCAGAGGGGTATTTGTAAAGTGCTCATCCTGCTCTATAAATGCCTATTCCTTTCCCTTCCCGTGCCCAGCACAGGGCTTAGCTCATAGTAGGTGCTTAATTAATGCTTGTCGGGTTGTATCAGTGACCCTGCCTCCACTTCTTTTGCAGACTCTTCTCGAGTCTTTTTTTTTTTTTTTTTAGTTTTTAGTTTTTAGGCAGTTGGGGTTAAGTGACTTGCCCAGAGTCACACAGCTAGTGAGTGACAAATGTTCAATATGAGGTTGGATTTGAACTCAGGTCCTCCTGGCTTCAGGGCCAATGCTTTATCCACTGCACCACCTAGCTGCCCCTCTTCTCGAGTCTTCCCTGTTATCCAGAAGCGTGGGCCCGGCTGGAGCCTTTGCATCGCTCGTCTCTCCCCAGGCTAGGGATCTGAAGAGCGACAAAGCCCTGCCTTTGGCTCTGGGGTCCACCATGAACTGGTCGGGGTCAGCCGCAGCAAATCCCTTTTGGGATCCCCAAATGGGCCTCTGCTGTCTCATCTGTAAGTTCTCTCTAACAGACAGACGGCAGGGGGAGGGTCGCTAAGCATGCTGCTTATTGATTAATATGAGTAAACTCCCATCTCCCCCCTCCCTTTTCTAAAACTATCCTAGGAACATTATTATTTTAGCCGGATTAAAGCTTTGGTTCCTGTGAAAATGACAAGGCACCTGAGACAACAAAAAGACCCCTGGGTTTGGAGTTAGGGCCCTGGGTTTGAATCCTGGCACTTTTACACCCTACCCTTGTGACCTGGGAAAGTCGCTGCCCTCTCCTGGACCTCCAGAAGACACAAGTGTTCAAGTCAAGTCAACAAGCATCTATGAAGAGCCTACTATGTGCCAGATACTCTGTTAACCGTTGAGGAACAAAGAAAGGTAGAAACCGTCCCTGCCTACAAGGGGCCCTAGCACCCAGGGTGCGGGCCCTGGAGTCAGGAAAACCTCAGTTCCAATCTGGCCTCAGACACTTCCTAGCTGGGTGACCCTGGACAAGTCACTTAAGCCTGCTTGACTCAACTATTCCCTCAACTGTAAAATGGGGATAATAGTAGCACCCACCTCCCAGACTTGTTGCCAGGATAAAATGAGGGAACAGTTGTAATGCGCCTGGCACGGAGGTGGGAGCTAGATAAATGCACCCTATTACTAGAGACCCCATGCCAACAAGCAGGCACAGTTAAGCTATGGACAGGGGAGATGGGAAGTAATCTCAGAGGGAAAGCACCATAAATGTGCTCAGCAGGGAGCAGTCCCTGAATCCTTGGTGTTGATGAACAGCCAGAGTCCAGGTATTTTCATCGTCTTCCCTTGGCTGGAAGGCTCTCCCTCCTCACCTTGGCCTCCTGGCTCCCCTGGCTTCCCCCAAGGCCCAGCTAAAGTCCCACCTTCTTCCCCAACAATCCGCCCTAATCCTGATGCTTCCCTGTTCAGCCCAGGCGGCCCTGGCACATAGTAGGCCCTTAACACATGTTTACTGACTAATGAATCCCAAATGTTTTCTCTTTCTATTTTTAATCTCATTCTGATTTTTGTTTTTACATCACCTTCATTTCTGAATCTAACTCTTGCAGGGAGCTGTTGGGTCCTTGTGAGCTGGACCGTCAAGAGAGAATTGAAGACACTGGGAACCTGAGGGGCCAAGTGAGGGGGCTGGGCAATGAGAAGGCAGAAGGGGCAGGAGTGAGTGGCCAGGCCTGCCAGTCTTTATTTCCCAGTTCTGCACAGAGCACCTGCCAATCCTGAATCTGGTCAGTTCCTCTCAATCAGTCAGCCTGGACAGTGACCCGGCCCAGACTTAATTACCCATCAGAGACAGGGCCTCAGAGGCCATTTCATCCAAACCCTTCATTTTACAGATGAAGAAACTGAGGCCCGGAGAGGGGAAGGCAGTGGCCATGGTCACATAGGGAGTGAGGAGCTCCTGGCCTTGACTCCAAAGCCAGCCCACCCTTCTAATGTTAGAGATGGGAAACTGAGGCCCAGAGAAGCGAATTGCCCAGGTTCACTGAGCTCATTAGGGCCAGGCCAGGATAAGGTCCCAGGTCTCCCACTAGCTTACACTGTCTCTGCTGACACCTCAGGTCATTCTGCTCCCCTCTCCTGCAGCATTAGAAACCACAGTTAAGACTTGTCAAAAATCAGGATAAAGTATATATGGAATGTGAGCTCAGTGGGCAGCAGGCCCATGGACTTCTTCAAGAGCTGCCCTGCCCCCAAAGCCCAGCAGGCGGAATCCCTCAGCCACAGGCAGCCCTGATGGCTGGCCAAGCTCCCTGCCTTCCAGGGCCATTCATTCCACTTGTCTTTAGACCAAGGGGGCAAACGCGGGTGCTATTTTTGGGGCTTCCTGACACCTCGGAGGTTATTTTAAGTCAGTTTTCCCCTCAAGGGCCTCACATGAATAAGGCTGGACAAGAAGAGTGGGGCCTGGAACAGATACTAGACGTGCAGGTCTGGTTTGGTTCTTACCTCCTCTGTCTAAATCCCAAGGAGGAGAAGGCCAGGCTGGGAAATAGCATCAGGAGCCCTGATACTCCGCAGCAGGGAGGCCTTGGCTAAGTCCCTTTCCACCTCTGAGTCTCAGTTTCCTGCTCTTTAAAGTGCTGGGGAGGTACTTTAAGGTTCATCCCCTCTCACAATCAAGGTTATCTCTAGGGGATGAGAGGGGGGACAGGCCTTCTGCCTCCTTTCTCTTCTTCCCCTTTGATTTTCCAGTTGAATTTTCCCCTGTCTCCACCAGAGGAATGAGTTAAGGGATCATCCATTTGGGCTCTTGAAGGTCCCACGACAGAGGAAGAAACTGAGGCCAGGGAGATTACAGGGATCCGCCCAAGGTCATAGAGTGAACAAACAGCAGATCTGAGATTCGAACCCAGGGCCCTTGACCCCAGATCCCACCTACTTTCCACCTTACCAAGAGCCCTCGTAGGCGGCCCCCTCCCGTCCCGGCTCTTCACTTTTTGCTCTTTCGGGCTTCTCCTGCGCTCCCGAGGCTGTTTCGGTACCAGGGAGCCCAGTTTCCCGTTCCCTCCCCTCGTCGCACCCGCTTTCCAGCTGGCAGAGCCGGCTGCCCCTGCCTCAAGACCACAATCCCGAGCCGGAGAGAGGACGTCCCTCGGAGAACATCTGGTCCCCTCCTTCCCCCCTCGTTTTTCGGGAGAGGAAAGTGCCCGAGACCGGCTCTGCCTCGCCCCAGGGTCGCGCAGGCAATAAGACGCAGACTGCGGACTCGAACCCGGGTCCTCTGACCCTTGGCCCCGGACCTCAAAGCCTCTGCCCCCTCCTCAGCGGCAGCAGCAGCCCTCTCCACCGGCCCCCACCCATGGGAGCCCCGTGCGCCCCTCCCTCTCTCCCCCCGCGCATTTACAAGACGTGGGCGGCGATCCAGAGCAGGGAAGCCAGCAGCCACAGGCCGAAGGAGAGGCACACGCGGTCACGGGCGAAGCAGTCGGCTAGGTAGTGCCAGTCCCCGAGGGCGGGCTCGGGGGCCATCCCGGCCGGTGCCAGGGCGTTTCCGCGGCCCGGATCCTCCTCCGCGTGGCTGGGGTCCGAGGGCTCGGAGGAGGCGGGCGTAGCCGCAGCCCCGAGCCGCTCCCGGTCTTCCTGCGGCTCGACCTGGCACGTCGGGCTCAGCGCGCGGGGAGCGCGGGCTCGGCCATGCCCACGGCCACACGAGCGCCCCCCCCCCCCGCGCGGGGGGCGCGGGGCGCTGGCAGGCTGGCTCTGCCTGGGCAGCCCCTGTGGAGCAGCCCAGGCAGGACGCGAGTCCTTCCCGGCACGTCTGATCGCCGCCGGACAGACGGCGGGGGAGCGGACGGACGACGGCCAGGCGGACAGACGACGGCCAGGCTCGGGAATTCTCCGAGCCCGAGCGAGAGTTACTTTGTAACAATCGCTGTCTGCGGCTTCGCCTATTGTTCGGGATGTGGGCGGCGCGGCGCGGCGCGGAGGCGGCGCCCTCTAGTGGGCAAATGCGGGACACGCCGCTGCCTTGAGGCCGCAGAGCGAAGGCGTGGGATGGGAGGGGGTGAGCTAGGCGGTGTCCCTGGTACTTCTCTTCTGAAATACCTTCAAGGCTCCCCTCCCATAGGAGAGCCTCTCCCAAGGCTGTGTGATCTTGGGCAAAATCCTTGATCCCAGCCTCAGCTTCCTCATTTGGAAAAGGAAAGGGTTGAGTGAGATGACTTCCAGGGTCCCTTCTGATTCTAAATCATATCCTATCCGCCAAACTCTGGGAATAGCCTGGAAATGATGAGAAGGGCCTCCAGCAACGATGATGCAGGCACTCAGTCGCTCACTGACCCCCAAGAGCTGGGCTTTTAGAATCTGTGTATGGGGGTTCGGGTCCTGCTGGCTGCTCTGCTGCCTGCCAGCTCTGGGCATGGGGGGAGAGCCAGCCCAAACCGAGCGGCTTAGCTAGCCCTGAGCACAGTGCCCAGCCACAGTAGGTGCTTAATAAATGCACGTTGACTTGATTCTGGCAAGGGCGGCTGAAGACAGGTTGGGAAGGGATTTAAAAGCCAGGCAGAGAGCTTGTGTGTCGAGCCAAGAGAGTCGATGCCGCTTTTTGAGCGGAGTATCGCTGGCCTCCCTTTGGAAGGTGGTATGGGGAGAAGGGACTGGAGGCGGGGAGGCCCATTTGGAGGCTACTGTGACAGTCCAGGTGACAGGGAGTGAGGGCCAAAACAAGGGTGGTTGCCATGTGAGTGGAGAGGAGAAAATGACCAAGGAAATGGGGGGAAACATTTATTAGGCATCCCTAGGAAGAGGGCAGTGGGCTGGTGCAATGGTTGGAGCACCAGGCTCAGGAGTCAGGAAAACTTATTTTCCTGAGTTCCAATCTGGCTTCAGACACTTCCTAGCTATGTGACCCTGGGCAAGTCACTTCACCCTGTCTGCCCCGGTTTCCTCATCTAGAAAAGGCACTGGAGAAGGAAATGGCAAATCTCTGCCAGGAAAACCCCAAATGGGATCCCAGAGAATCAGATACAGCTGAAATGACGGAGCACTGAATAACAGGATGGGACTTCGCACTTGTGCACCCCACAAGGTCGTTTCAGTTCAAACACCTTCCAGCTTAACCTGGAGGATTCACTCCTGGGCTTTCCGGAGGCAACCAAACAATCCTCTTCCACACACTTGCTTTCCTGGTTGCTTGAAGTGACCTGGTGAGAGGCCCCCGACCATGAGGCTGTCCCCCTGTGGGTCCTGGCCACTGGGCAGGCTTCTGGGGGCATCCTGTCTGACAGCAGGAGTCCCTGAAGCCTGAGGCTTGTTTGCTTTCTACAACACATCTTTGGGGCCTGTCACTTCCCCCCACGGGAAGCGCCAGCAGGAAGAGACGGCCCACCCTGGCGACAAATCACAGACGCCCTGGGAAAAAAAACTGGCGTCAAAACTGAAAATAAAAAAAAAAAATTCTCCCATCCAGTGCCTGTTTCCTGGCGCTGTTCTCCTCAGGGCTGTTGTTTGACAAAAGGTCTTCTGGTGAATCAACCTCCAGATCAGGGAAACCAGCAGGCCTGAGGAGTGACCCAAGGCTCACTGGTGAACAAGGGAACTCAGGCAGGTAATGTTTAGTAAGTGCCTACGGCGCTGCCAGGCACTGTGCTAAGTGCTGGAGACACAAGGAAAGGTAAGAGCCCAGCTCCCAACCTCCAGGAGCTCTGTGTGAAGGGGGCTGGGGACAACAGGGAAATGACTAGATACGAACAAGCTATCAGCAGGATAAACTGGAAACAACCGACAGGCAAGGCACACGAATGAAGAGGGACGGAGAAAGGCGTCTTGTAGACCGTAGGATTTCAGCTGGGACTTGAAGGAAGCCAGGGAAGCCAAGAGCGAGTGCTGAGGAGGGCATGCCAGGCAGGGCACACAGCCAGGGGACTTGCAGGGATCGGGAGATAGAGGGTTAGAGAAGGAAGAGGAGGGAAGCTGGTGTCCCCGGGGGCAAAGTGTGGCAAGGGGGAGAGGTTTAGGAAGCCTGGAAAGGAGGACGGTGCGCTTGAACACCAAACACAGGATTTGGCTTTGGATTCTGAGATGGAAGTTTACTGGGGGTGTATGTGACAGAGTCCAGCAGAACCTACAGCTTTCCCTCTCTTGATTCGCCCCTTTTATTCTGCCTCCGTCTTGTTTGAAGTTAGCAGTTAGTGGCAGTCAAATTGCTCTCCCCCCCCCTCCATTAGACTGTGAGCTCCTGGAAGGCTGGGCTGGGCCTTTACCTTACTTCGTGTATCTCCAGTACTTTGAGCAGTGCCTGGCACACAGCAGGTGCTTAATCAATGCTTGCTGAGTCACACTAGAAAGTCAGTATCCTTCCAAGTTCTCCTTGGCCTTTCTGCAAAGGCCTGCTCCCCAAATGCTGGGGGGTGGGGAGACTGGGGCCAGAGCATAGAACATCACACCCACGAAAGCTACAAAGAGGAGCTCACCACTTTCCTAAACTAGCGGGACCACAAAACCAAAGGCAAACATGGCAGGGCAGGAGAGGGGTCTGATGGGGGAGGTGGGCCACCCCATACCCAAAGCCACGTAGAGCACTCAGAAGCCTGAGCTGGCCTCCTCCTCGCTGGGAAGACTTCTTAGAGCCTCGTGTAGCATTGCCCCCCTTCCCCCAAAACTGCTGAGGCCCCGCCCTCTTCCCCTACCCCATCACCGAGGCTCCTCCCTCTTTCCCTCTCCCACTACTGAGGCTCCAACTTCCCCCTCCCTCCCCCCCAACGATAGAATTTTTCTCCTGGAAGTCAGAGCTCTCTGAAAGGCCAAAGACAAGAGAGAGCTTGTACTGGGGGAAAACACATGGTCTCTTCTTGGGTGTCAAAGGTTAGCAACTGGAACTTTCTCCTTCAGCCTGAGGGGCCAAGGGCTGGGTAAGCAGAGCTGCCCAGGCCTGCTTAGCAAGTCACAGAATGCACCTGTGGCCATCTCATCTACAGGCAGGTCACTTCCTGATGCCACGATCTGTTTTTCAGACATTTAACCTTAAGTCTCCCTTACCAGCCCTCCCTTCTATCCCCTGACAGCAGGCAGACCATGGTAATCACTCTCCAGGAACTCACTTGAAAAGGCTGACTCTTGTGATAGAATACCACTACTGTGCTGTAAGAAATGATGAGCTGGTTAGTTTTAGAAAAACATGGAAAGACTGACATGAATAACAAAGAATAAAATGAGCGCAACCAAGAGCACGATGTATACAGTAGAAGCAAAACTGTTCCAAGAACTAAGTCATTTTGAGTATTACAATCACTCAAATCAGCTACACAGGACCTGTGAAGGAAGACGCTATCTGCAGCCAGAGAAAGAACTGAGCAACAGAAGTATGCCTTCTCTAGAGCAGGGTGGGGAGGGAGAAAAAAAGTGCACAACAGAGAACAAAAGAAAATTTAGAAGGAAGCACAGAAAGGCGGGGCAGCGTTTATTACATAGTTTTTTAAAAAAAAAGCAAACAGTGTTAAATGGAAATTCATGGCTTTCTATTGAATCCTCTATGTTGTATTGTGTACGTGGAAATGGCGTTTTTGTCTTTCTGTTTAAGTTCAAAATGAATAAAAAAACACCTTTTAAATTAAAAAAAAATTATTCACTTCAAGGAGGAAATCTCTTTTCCCGGCCCTTCTTGTTGAAGTGTGGCACACACAGGGCATTTCTCAAGGATCATCTCTGTAGTGACTCCCTTCATGGAGGGGGAAAGCCCCCCCATTCCAAGATGCTTCAGTCACCTAGAAAGACCCAAACCCATTGTTTCTAGGAGCACCCTTCCCCATTCCAATCATTCTGAGACAGATTATCTGCAGGACAGCAACCTGTCAACCTGTCCCATGAGGGCATCGGTTCCACCAAACACCCTCCCATTGCCCACGGCAAAGGGTCAACGTGTGAGCTCTCCGGCTGTGCGTGGGAGTCCAAGACTCTCCCTTGGTGAGAGGTCTCCCTGCAAGGGCAGCTGCCTTTGTTTTCCCATGGCCTCCTGCTCCCATTCTCCCAGGACAGTGCTTTGCAGCCAGCAAGTGCTTAATAATTAAGCACCAACTGTCTAAGAGGCCATACCTTCCTTTAAGAACAGTTAAGGGGAAAAGGAGAAAGACGAGACTCAACTTGCTTAATCTCTAGTGGAGAATGAGGAATAGGAAATTTTCTTTAATAAACACAACAGGTATTTTAAACTCTGATTCAATTCCAGCAGTCACCGAGAGGAATGCCCAGCCAGGCAGAGGTGGGTGGCACAGGGGGAAAGGCAGCCAAGGTATGGTGAAGAGCCTGGACCAGGCCAACTGAGCCCAGAGGAGGGTTCAAATCTTTCCTCCACATCCACACAGGTATCTTAAACAATCAAAGGAGACCCTCTAAACTAACGGGTTATGCCATCAGCTGTTATCAGAGGAGGTAACAGGGAGTGCCTGGACAGACCTCCTGGAGGCTGCCTCCAGCTCTGGGTCCCCTGTCAGAAAGGGCATTGACAAGCATCCAGAGTGAATGCCGGTGCCAGGGGCACTGGCTGAATACTGGAGATGCCCTTACTGTCTCCAGGTAGATGAAAGGCTGTCAGAGACACTGAATCTTGGGGGGCAGGGACAGCGTTGGGTTTGCAGCCAGCAGACCTGGGACAACTCCCAATCCTGCCCGACACCAGTGGAGCTGTTTGTTTCCTCATCTGTAAAATGAGGGGTGGGATGAGACGGTCTCTGTAGCCCCCCTAGGCTCCAATGGGTGGAAGCCACAAAGAGACAACTTTAGGCTTGATGCCAGGAAACACTTCCCAACCATTAGCTATTCAAAGTGGGGCAGGCCACCCTGGCAAGGCAGGGATGTCTTCCTTTATGCCAAACCTTCAACCCTAGGCAAACATCTACAGGCTGAGCTAGAAGGGCACCCGCGCTTCCTTCCAGCTGAGTGGACAGGGTGGCACGTCCCACAACACCTGGACCTCTACAGGCCCCAGGAACGGCAACCTTGCCTTTATGGCTCTTGGCACGTCCACCCTTAGCACACACAGGAAGCCTTACCTGCTCTGCTCTCTCAAACCAGCAGCCCGGCCACATACCGAGGTCTCTCTTCAGACCCGAGGGCTGCTCACTCCATCCTCTAGGGTATCAGAGAGCAGGGCACACCTGAAGCTGTCATCCAACCCGGGGAAGAGGCTGGGTCTGCCCCCAGCTTCCCAGCCTGGGCCTCATCAGCATCCTGGTCCAGAGGAGCGGCTGTCTTGGCCCCCGCAGCCCCACGACTAAGAAATCCTTGCTGACTGACCCTGGAAAAGGGTCTCATCTCTCCTTCCTGCAGTCACCACCTCGGCTGGGCCTCCATCACCTTGCTCATTCCGTCTCTCGACCGACCGCGTTGGTGCCAAACCAATCGCCCTGAAAGCACTCGTTCCTAGGAGCGACCCCTAGCGGCAGGTTCACAGGATCCACCTCACAGAACCCGGGCTCAGGACCCAACTCTGCTCCCTATGGGCCTTGGAGTGATTAGCACTGGCCTCTCCAGGCCTCAGTTTCCTCGATGATACAGATTCTGGGCTGAAGAGCCATGAGAGGTCACCCGGCCCCTCATTTTACAGAGCCCTAGAGGCAGGTGACTGAGAGGAACTCATTTAGAAAGGTCTGTGGTGAGATCTGGACCTGGGTTTTCCCGATTCCAAGTCCAGAGCCTTATCCCCAGCGAGACATTCTCTGGGCACTCCCTAAGTGCTTGTCACTTCCCCTCCCCTGTAAGAGGGGCCTGGGTTGGATGCTTTCCAAGGCTTCTTTCCAGTCAAGCGCAGGCTCAGAAACCCGTCACCACCACTAGCACCAAGGCCAGACTCGTGGCTTTCTGAGCCCCCCAAAGCTTCCCAGTGTCCCTGTGCACCCTTCCACTTCTGGCCACTCTCCCACCATCCTTTGCTCTCTGATCGGCTCCTTTCCTGTGAAGAGCAGGGCAACTACTACACTGAGGGGCCTTGAAAATACCACCTGCCAGGAGTAGATGAAGCAGCCCCCAACCCCCTCTGAGCAGTAAGCTAGAAGGCATAGCGTGTGCTTTATTGAGAATTGATTAGGTAAGGCCTACCATGGGGCAAGGCACCAGGGGTAGAGATGGCCAAGGCAGTCCTGGTCCTCGGGAAGGCACTGTCCACAGGCCCAAAGAGCAGGTCAGAAAAGGCCCACATGGCAGGCAGCTCCCTGCCTGAGCCTCGGAGGAGGCAGAGGTGAGGGCAAGGAGTGGGAGAGAGTCTCCGGTAACTGAGGAAGGTCAGAATCAGAAGGGGAAAGGTGTGAGAGGTGCTGGGGGGGGGAATGGGTCAGGAGCCTAAGGTGGCAGGAGGCTGGTGCCCCGGGTTCAGCCCGAGATGCCCCCGGGCAGAGAGGGAGGATGGTATACACTTCTGCCACCATGCAGAGGAGCCAGAGCTGGGGGCGGGGATGGGGTGGGAGGAGATGGACGCTACGGCCACAAAGGAGACCGAGAAGGGGCGACTGGGCTGCAGAATCACTTTACAGACGAAGAAACACAACTCAGGAAGCTGGCCACCATCGATATCATGTCACCTGTCCCTTCCTGGGCCCTCTGGACCCCAGTGAGGAAGACAGAGCCCGGGAGGGATGGGGGCGACAGGCTGTGCTGGGCAGAGGTGGAGCCCCGGGCACAATGGCTGCATCGGACCCGAGATCCAGTCCTGCTTCTGCTGGGAACTCTGCCCAAAAGGATCAGACTTTATCGCAGGATGCTTCCAGGGCCGACCGCTGGCCAAACTGAGAGGCCTCTCCACGAGCGACCGTCCTCCCTCAGGGCTCAGGCTGCACGATGGGGGCAGAGGGATCCCCAAGCTTAGAGCTCTTCGATGCCACTGCCGAGTGGGGAGTGTGGACGTGGCCCTGGGACCTTGGCAAGCCCTTAACCTGGACCTGCCCCGGCCCTGTTTCAATACAGGTTTCCAAAACCATTCCTCTGGCTCCCAGAGGTAGAGAATGTGCCTGCGTGTGCACAGCTATCCATCTCACCCACCCTCATCATCCATCCACTTGCCCCCGCCCCTCATCGCAGGGTCACTGGCGCAGACCGCTCATCTGGGCCCTGGAGGTCAGCGCCCCCTCGCCCCGCGGGCCAGGAGGGAGAGCACGGGGACAGCCTCGGTCCGTCACTCCTTCTGGCAGCCGGGTCAGGCTCGAGGTCACGCGTCCAAGTGCCTGGTGACCCTGCGGACTTTCTCCTTTTTGTTCCGGTTGCCGTGTTTCTTCCAGGGCTTCCCAGGGACTCCACTGTGGCCGGCAGCAGGAGGTCCCGGGGCCCAGCCCGGCCTGTGGCCCATCACGGCCTGCACGCCCCTGGTCAGTGCCCTCACGTTCTCCTGGGGAACACGAAGCCATGCCTGAGACGCTGGGGTAGTGGGTTTGTGGGCACTGCTATGGGGCCCACGGGGCACTCATGGACGTGGACCGGGCGAAGAGCCCATCCTGGAGCGACTTCTCACGTTTTCTGAAAAAACTGCCTTGTTTCTCAAGGACAAAACCGCGAGCTCCCAACTGTTCCCCCCTCCTCCCAGCCCTGGCCTGTGCCCCGCACACGCCTAAGTCGTCCTGGTCCTAGCTTTGCAGCCAACATCACTGACTCCACATTTTCTCCCGAGCCCCCGCCCCCAGCACACGGCCGGCCTCAGTTTCACAGCACACACTCAAACCCCAGACAGAGGCCTCACCCCGCCCCGGCACCCACAGCGCTCAGCGTGTGCACTGCCAGGAGGCCCACTTGCAATCTTACCTGGTGAAAAAATGCTCGGTCGACCACATTCTCAATCTGCTTGGCCTTGTGGCAGCTCTGCCGTGGCGGCTGCGCCTCTGGCTTCCCTCCGCCGTGCCTCAGTTTCTCATGCTGCGGCTGAAAGTCCCTAGCCTCGATACCAGGAGGAGGGTGGCAATACAGCAGCTTACCCTGGAATGACAGTCAGGGCTGGCTCTGGGCTGGCGGGTGCCCCAAAGAGGGGCACGCCCTGTGCCTGGCACCTCTGGGCCCCGGGAGCAGAGGAGGTGGCGCAGCTAGCCGAGTGTCAGAGAACCAGCCCCCGACCCAGGCCAAAGAGCAGAGTTGCCTCTGGTCACTGTGGGAAGGGTCAGCGGAGGAAGCCGAGACCCAAATGTCCATCACAGGCATTCCTCTGAAGGAAGGGGAAGAGACTGAAGGCCAGTCAGCCCAGGCCCTCCCTCGCAAACCCAGGGCCCAGGGGGACTTCCCACTATCTCATGTGATTATGGCAGACCTCAAATTCTAAAGAAGCGCAGCCCAAGGCCAGTGAAATCAACTGCCCTGCCCGGCCACCAAGCGGCGGCTTTGGGACACGCTGGCCCTGGCCAGACTAAACTACCGACCCACCCCAGGCTCACCCTGCCCTGCCTCACGGCCCCCAGGGCTCAGAGCATGCCTCTCTCTTTTAGGTCATGATTCCTGGCCTGACCATCCCAGGAGCAGCTGGGAGTAGTGCCCCTCGTGCCCAGCTCTGCGGGTGACAAAGGGGAGGTCAGCACGGCCTCCTGGGCACCCTAGATCCTCGGGCAGGCAGGCAGGCAGCCCTAGGAGAGGTATGAGCAAGAGGAGCCCACACTTACCCTGACGTAGTCCTTCAGGATGTACCGGGCAGCTCGGGGCTGGTCAGGCTGTCCGTGGGCAGTCATAAACCCTCTCATACCTGAGAAAGACCCAAAGGGATTAGAAGCCAGGGCCCAGGTCCCCGGTCCCCACTGTTCTCTGAGCATCAAGCACCAGGACAGCCCTGGCAGGGGCACAGACAGCAGCCCGCTCCCCACACAGAGAGCTGCCCATGGTGTACCACGCCCCTGAGGGGAGGCCCCCAAGTCCAGGCGCTGTTTCTAAACAGAGCCTGAATGCTGAAGGCGAGGGGCCTGGCACAGGACATGAGTTAGTCCCAGACTCCTATTTCCGTTTCCTATCAAGAGCTGACTTTAACTTTCATAGAGAAAACCCGACAAAGAAGTCAGAGACTGAAAGATCCTCAAAGGGGTTGAGAAACGTGCAGCGTCCCCATCAAACTCTCCGTTACTAGGCCCTTTGGCACTCTTCTCGCAAATGACCTGGCCAAAGTCAGGACTGGAACCCAGGCCCTGGGGGTCCAAAGCCAGCTCTGATCGGCTCCTTTGGCAGCCACGCCCTCCCGCACTCACGCACGTGTACGCACACCCAGAGAACTCACTTCCGTAAGCCGTCAGCAGCTCTTCGGAGGTGGGCTGCCGATTTTGGTCTTCATCTTCTCGGGGCCGTATGATGTGAATCCCATAGGTGGCTTCTAGGACCCGTCTTGGGATGTTCTGGCAAATGTAAGTTTGTAAAGGAAGAGAACTAGATCTCTGTGCCTGTCTTGGGCCCTTGGGCCCCTACCTTGTCATACACGGGAAACCCCATGCTAGGCCCCGGGGGAAGATCCCCCACAATGCTGATGGAGCGTCCCGAAAGCTGCCGTTCCCCTCGCTGCCCTGCAGCCTCAAGGGCCCGGTGTCAGCGGCCCAACAGGACTCGCCCCCGTCTAATACCTGAATTCCCCAACAATTCCCCCCAAGAAAGGATATGAAAGAAATGGGGGGCACGTGGTCTCTCATTTGGTCGATGGGCAGAATCCCACAGCAGATCATCTCAGCCTTGGTAGAGACGAAGGACGGCATCACCAGGCCGGGGCAGTCACACAGACACAGGCCGGGCTCCACATAGAGGGTCTGAAAGAGGAGCTCGAGGTTTGCCTGGCTCTCGAGCAGGAGAGGGTGGGGTGAAGGGCCTGCGGTCAGGGCCCACAGTGAGTACCTGGAAGTGTTTGGTGTGCCCGGGTGTGGCCGACACAGACACCTTCTTGTCCCCAAAGATGGTGTTGATCGTCGAGCTCTTTCCAACGTTGGGGTAGCCGACCTGGAGAGAGGAGCGATCCAAGATGGGAGACGATCGTGCCCTGCGGCCCAGCACAGACCCTCGGCCTTTCCGGGCCCCCGTCGCAAGGCCTGGCCCCTGGGGGCGCCATGCTTGACCATGACCAACGTGCACACAGGAGTTTTGTGGGAGCCCGAGCTGTCAGTGCTTCTGTACATCCACAGCCCTACGCCTGGCATCCATGGGCCGGCTAAACAACAGGTAGGATGTGGGCAACCATGCCAGCTGGAAGACCCACCTCTCTATGGGGGGACATGCTCGTCCTCCACAACACACCACTCCCAAACTCGCCTTCCAGCCCCATTCTACACGGACTTCCTTCACGCATTCCTTGATGGGGTCAGCCTGGCCTCCCCACCCCGACCCCTCACCCGTGGCACAGGCAGTACTCATGCCTGGACTGAGCTCGCTCCCTCCCTCACCTCTGGTACTAAGAATCCCTTGAAACATCACCCCTTCTACACAAAACCCTTCCGGATGCCCCCAGCTCTTAGTAGCTGTACCCCTCACAAATACTGTGGATTTTACTTTGGGGGTACACATATATTTTGTAAGCCCGTGTATACACAGGTTGCCTCCTCAATAGAATGTGAGCTCTCTGAGGGCAGGAATAGTCTCACTCTGGTCTGTGCATTGTCAGGGCCTGGCACAGGGTGGGTGCTAATGTACTCTGGCTGATGGCCTGGTGATGCCATCCCACCCACCTCCAGAAGACGACCAGGGGCCCATTCATGCCCCCTCTGGAATGCCCTGCCTGGGGCATCCTTCACTCTCGTCCCATTGGTTTGGGAAGACTTTTCTAACTGACCAACTCTCAGGAGTAGAGAGTTACCGTGAGGTCAGGTCGAACAGTCAGGATACTGGATTTGAATTCCATTCCAGGGACTCGCTGCTGGTAGGACGGGGATGGGCAAGTTGGAGAATGCAGGACCCCAGGGCCCAGATTTAGAGTGTAGCCACTGAGCCTGCCTCCCTACCCTTCATTGGAAAAACAAGGGAAACTGAGGCACAAGTCCAGGGACTTGCCCAGGGTCACACAGCCATATCTGAGGTGGGATTCAAGCCCAGGTCTTCTTGGCTCCCAGGCTGGCCCTCCAGACAAGCTGTTGGGAGGGAAGCACTTGGCAAATCCTCAGCTAGAAAGAAGGGCTGCCCTAACATCCAGGAGCCACCCAGGAGCCAGACTGCGGGCATTTGGAAGGGAGAAAGGGGTTGGTCAATGAGCAGCCCTTTACACAGCCATGTGCCCAAGACCCACATCCAGCAGGACCCCCTAAAAAAGACTTCCCTTTCCCTGGCGGCCACTGAAGGTCCCAGCTTTCCCTAGAATTCCCTTCTGGTGACAGGCTCATCCCGCCAACAACCGGCCACTCACCAGCCCCACAGTGAGCTGCCCCTCCTTGACCTTCTTCCCAGAATGCATCGCTCTGAAGAGGTCCAGCAGCTCCTCCTTTTCCACCAGGTGGCTGTCATTCTGCACGCGGGCATCCCCAGCCAGGGGCCGTGGCTCCTGCTCCAGGCTGCCCCCGGCCCCGTTCTCCCGGCAGCAGGGCTCTGCTTCGTGGCCGCCGCCGCCGTCATCCTCAGAGCACGTCTGCCACTGGTCATCATCCTCCAGACAATCCTCGTACTCGCTGTCACTGTCCTCACTGGGGAGCCGCTCACCACCCCCCTGCTCATCCTCAGCCTCATCTTCCCACTCTTCGGCCTCCTCTGAACTCTCAGCTTCTTGCTCCTAGTCAAATGAAGAAACCCAGAGAAGCTGAAAAAAGGGTTATGCACCACAGCCTTCACATGAATCCTCTAGACAAAGGAAAAGAAAAGTCCCAGGACCATGGAGAGGAGGGGATTAAGAAGACAACGTGCTCTTAAGCTGAGACAGACAAAACTCTTCTCCTGCTGAAGGCAGGCCGCACTCCCTCAATTACTGCCACCAGCAAACGACCGTAGCAAGGGAGCCGGGCGCTGGCTGTGAAACCACCATGGGGTATTCAAACACATCACCCCGAGGCAGAGAAGGCCCAAGTTAACCCTAATTTAGAAACCTGCTCGTTGTTCTGGGCACCTGGTCAGAGGCTGACCAAGCCTGGGCACTGCTGCGGGTGTTTGTGACAGGGAAGGGTCTGAGCCCTGGGCTTGGGGAAAGGGACCTTCTGGAATTCCAGGGAAAGTGTTTCAGAAAGCTCAGAGAGAGATCAAGAAAGGTAAAAGGAAGCTGTGCTCTCAACGAGGCCTCCAAGATGCTGAGGAATACAGCTGAGTCCCAGCTGTGCACAAGCCTGAGGAGAAACAGAAGGGACGAGAGAGGGAAGCCGTGGGCCAGAGCTGAGGAGCTGAGCTCAACATGCCCGTCAGGAGAAAGGATGCCAGGCCTGAGAGCTGGCCCCAAAGACCCAGGGCTGTGCGGCTCAGTGTCCAGGAGTTGTGGGCCGTGGCAGCCAAACCCTCCTTCCTGTCCCCACACACCCTCCTTTCTGCCCCAGACACACTCTGTCTGGGGCAGAACTTTCCTGGAACCCACTGCTCAGATCTGGGAGATGGACCCCAAAGTGTCCTGAAGGACCAGAGAGCAGCCTGGGAAACTGCCTCTACCCTAATGTTCTGTGGGAGAAAATGGGGAAATTCAGCCGGGAGAAGATTAGGGGGTGGGGGGACATGGAAGGGGAAGGCTTGGGAGTGGAACCCTAGTGGGGAGTGGCCAGAACAAGGTGAAAAGCAGAGGGGGAGAGAGCGTGTGCGTGTGCGTGTCAGAGGCTGCATTTGAACTCAGGTCCTCCTGACTCAGGGCTGGTGCTCCATCCACAGTGCCAACTAGCTGCCCCCATCTTGCAAAATATTTCTTTGCTTTAAAAGAGAACTCAAGAGCCCCTGGCCGAAGATGGCCAGGCCACTGCCTTTAGCTACAGCCCTCATAAAGGTGCTGACTGCTGTTGATGGCCACCGCGAGGTCATTTCCCAACTTCCCACGTCGCCTCCCCCTTCACCGCAAAGAATCACGGCCATTCTCGGTTTCTTTGGGGGCACAGCGGGTGGGGCTGGCGCCTTCTCTCTGCCGTGGGGGCCCTAAGCTGACACAGAAGCAGCCGCCCCTGCTTGTGTCCTTCCCTGACAGCGCGGAGAGGCGCTCGGTCACCTTTGATCTCGCGCTCAGCCGGTCACCTTCCGCCAGAGCGGACCAGAAAATCACTTTCACGTTTTCTTGCTCAAAGAATCTGGCCCACGCTCCTCGCTGCTCCTCAGTCAACAGGTCTGCCTTGTTGATCAAAATCACATTTTCCTTATCTCCGCTGATTTCTTTCACATAACGTTCCTAGGAAAACAAAGCTCATTTGGAGGAAGCAAAGACAGGGAGGTGCCTTCGCTGAGGACTCCCAGGGGACGAGATGAACGCAGACCCCACACACACATCACCACGACCATCACTGCCACCACCTCCTCCTCCTCTTCCCTGGGGAGGCTCAGGGGCAGTGACCCTCCAAGGAGCACAGAGTGCGGGCCCATCTCACAGGGAAGGAGACAGGTCCAGGCGACCCCTGCAGGCGGGAGCAGGCCCTGCCTTCAGAGCCGGCCACACACGACCACCAGAGCTCCATTTATCAAAGCCTTAAAAGGCTCTGTGCCCAATGAGGCCCTAAACGAGAGCCCAGGAGTGATGGGCAGCTGCCAACCAACCAAGAGGAAGGAGCCAGGACCCCGTGAGCCTTCCGGAGTGGCCGCAGCTCACAGCACTCTGGGTGAAGCTGTGAGACCCGAATCCACGCCCCAACCTGATCTCTTTACTAGGGCTCCTCCCACAGATCCATCCCCTCGTGCTCCTTCTGGGGCAATGAGAGGCAGGTGTCAGGGAGATAAACAGCCCAGGTCACTCTGGATCAAACAGCGTTGTGATAGGCTAGATGAAAGGCCTCGTGCCCATGGGCAGCGCTCCTCCCAAGTGAGCCCACCTGCCTAATGCTGGTCCCGCCTTGACCCACCCGAGCCTGGGCAAAGGAAACGGTCTCAGGGCTAGGCCCAGGATGCCATTCATCACTGGGAATTCTGCTGGACAATCAAGAAGGGCCCCCAGTCCCCGGCAGAGTGAGCTCTCTGCCCAGCCACACTCACCAAGTCCTCACATCGAAAGAGGAGGGGATTACGGGCATCTACTATCTGCACAACGACATCACTGAGGAATAAACAGAAAGATAGCGACTGCTGGGGCCAGGCCACCCAACCTCCCATAAAGGGACACGAGATGAGAGGCAGCCGACGACACTGGGGCCCACTATCAGAGTGTGAGGCTGCCCTGAGACTTCTGGGACCACTGACCTTGGAGCCCTGAGCCCGCCCCACTGTGTGGGTTCACAACCTGCTTTACACACCCCTTACACCCTTACAACTTGTGAGGTTTACAACCTGCTTTACACACCCCTTTCATCTGGCGCGATCCCTGAGAGGACCCCCCCCCTCCCCGGGAGCTTATAGGAAGTTTCCCATTTAAAACAAACACCACCAAAGTAAGAAAGGAAGTGACCAGAAGCGACCGCCGCACAGGAGAGGCGCTTTGTATCAAACGTCCCTGACGAAGGCGTGCCAGCCAGCCGAGGGCCACGCCAGCTAACAGGCCAGAGGACCAGGGCCATTCCCCAGCTGGGAGGCGGCCACACACTGTGGCGGAGCCATTTCTCAGTCGGGTGTGACTCTCTGTGGCCCCACTTGGGGTTTTCTTGGCAGAGATTACTAGAGGGGTTTGCCATTTCCTTCTCTGCTGATTTTACAGGTGAGGAAACTGAGGCAGACAGGATGAAGTGCCTTGTGCAGGATCACATGGCTTGGAAGCGTCTGAGACCAAATTTGAACTCGGGTCCTCCTGACCCCAGGCGTGGCACTCTGTGTACCATGGCACCCCCTGAATGCCCCCCCTCCCCCCAGGAGACCAACAATCCTCGGAAAAATTTCAAAGGGTTTTAACAGCCCAGTGGAAGAAGGAGTGATAGGAGAAATGCAAATTTCCCCCCAAAAGATGGGACTGGAGGGAAAGGCAGGCCTTGGAGGTGCCCTGAGTCCACTCTGGGCAGAGCCTGAAGAGGTCAAGGCTGAAATGAAGGGCCCCAGACGCGCCGAGCACTTGGAGCAGGAGCTGGCCAGCATGGGGGCCCGCTGAGTGGGGGACGGCCCACACGGGCAGTGCTCACACCAACGGCCACGAATCCTGCGCTATCCTTTGAGAGGCAGGGCCTGCGGGGGCGGAGCTCCGCACGTGCCTCCTTCTGGTTCCGGTTCATTCTCTGGGAGAGGGAAGGATGCACTGGGGAACAGAGGTGATATGTTTCAGGCCTTCTTCCCCCATGACCCCCACAGCCACACGACAGCCTTTGAAGGGAAGGGTCCAGGCCCCACTGCATCCAACTACTGACTGTTTACACTGGAGGAAAGCGAGCCCCACAGACGCTAAGTGATGGCCGCCAGGAGGAAGCCCAGAAGGCAGTACAGGCCCCACCGATTCCATGAGGGTGTCACGGAGGGAGGGGACAATCAGGGGCTCCTCTGAGCCCTTTGTTTCCGAGGCGTGAGGCCCCCCAGTCACCACGGGGGCCAGAATCGGGCTTTCCTTTCTCCACCAGCCTTCCACCTGCACCTCGTCTGGATCTGGCACCATTTTCACCCCGGAGAGGCTCTCAGGAGGCCCAGAGACGATGATCACCCAAGGTCATGCAGCATTTGAACCCAGGTCCTTGGAATTCCTTCCAATCCAGGGTGCCCTCCTCTGCCTCCCTTCAAGAGGTCGCTAAGTTTCCCTCTGGGTGGCGGCCTGCGGCTGGGCTCTAGGCACGATGATGCTGTGGAGTCGAGCCTTTCCTCCTCCCTCTACTGTCCGCCACATAAAGACTGACCTCGAAGCCCAGGAGACAAAACTCTCTGATGCCGTCCGTCACAAAGACCCCTGAGAAGGGGCCTGAGGCTTCGGCTGTCCAGCCTCCCCAGGGTCCAGGGCCTGGGGATGAACAGCGCATCACACGAATTCCGACACGGTGGCGGAGAGGCCAGGGGTCTGGTCATCGAACAGAAGTCGGCTGCAGAGGCATCCTGCCATCACAGCCCTTCCACGCTTCACAAACCCGCTCCTGGACTTGAAATGCCCCCCAATCACTACTGAAAATCAGGGCAAGGACGTGGAGAGAGCAGGGGCTGCCACTGCAGGTGATCAAGCGGTCAGTCAACAAGCATTTATTAAGTGCCAGGCCCTGGGCTAAGGCCAAGCACAGAAAAACCAAACAAAACCACAAAAAAGCCCCTGCTCTCAGTTAGCTTACATTCAAATGGGGGAGAAGGATGTGGAAAGGACTGGGCACACACGGGACACACACAGAACAGAAGAAAGGAAGGGGAGGGTGGGGGAGAGGGGACAACCTTCTAGGTGGGAGACACAGACGTACAAAGGCATGGAGGTGGGAAATGAGCACCACATGCCAGGACGGCCAAGTGTGGCCAGAGAAGCGAGGCATGAGAGGACCGCCAAGGTCATGTTGCAGAGGCCCCCGGCAGTTTTCAGGGTCCACCAATGGGGATCATAGACGGACACCAGGCTTCTCCAAGGTGGTTAAGTAATCAAACACAAATGTCCACTTGCTATGGGTGGCCAAGTTGGGGCCAGGGACACCAAGTCAGAAAATGAAGTCACCCCTCCCCACCCTTTGGGGGAGACAACCCGCCGCGAGTCACCCAAAGCCATCCTCAGCAGCACAGGAAGCCCCAGCGCCGGGGACCCTCCCTCCACTCCAGCTCTGGGGCCTGTGACCCACACTTCCTCACGACCACGCGCTCAACCCGCCGAGCACGAGACTGAGCCGCCATCTTTCGGGCCACCTGAACGCGGGCCGTTCTAGGTGTGGGGCTCCAGGACGTGCTCCCTGACTCGTCTTCTCCCCTCTGCCTGCGCCAGCCCGAACCTGACTCTGGGACTCCGCCACGGGGCGCCCGACTCACCTTCTCTCGATGACTCTCCAGAGCTGCCGCCAGAAGTCCAAGTTTCTTTCAAACGGCGTCAAAATCAGGTTCTGCTCCTCTTCCAGCCTGGCTTTAAAAGAAAAAGCTGACCACCAGGCGCCCCACGTGGCGGAAGGGCCCCCCAGGCCTGCAGATGATGGAGGAGCTCACTCGGCGGGGTTCCGTGTGGTCAACATCCCCGCCTCCAGCCCCACACGGGGCGGTGAGCCCCAGACCCAGGCCTTGGGATGCACAGAAAAGCCCAGGAGAGCCTGTGGCCTCCTTTGAACCTGCGTCTTCTGGGGGCTCCACGGGCATCTTGAGGCTGCGGTTTAAAAAGCAGCTTCTGGATTTATGGGGGGGCGGTGTGCTCAGACAACCCAGAGGACCCTGGGCTGCACCGGCAGCCCCCTCAAGCCACCCCAGAAAGAGGACGGCAGGAAGGCAAGGCACTCACCGCACCAGCCCGCGCCTCCACTCCAGGAAGTTCTCTCTCTCGGCCTGCTGGAGCCCCTCGGCGCTGGTGCCCTCGTCCCATGGGGGTCTGTGAGAATGCCAGAGGGTGGGGGAGCCCCAGGAGGTGGGCAGTGAGGGATGGGCGCCCCGTGGGGGTGGGGCAGTGAGGGGTGGGCGCCCCCGTGGGGGGGG